TATACACACAGTATATACTAAAATCTGCTTATAAACAACAAACCAGTTAATGTAATGAAAGTCGTCACAACTTAGCAAACAAAATAAAAATAAAATTATATTTTAAAAATGCACTGAGCATAGTTTTCAAGGCCAGTTCTCTTTTTTTGTAAATCTGACCTGTTTTTTTCCCCAGAACTACATGTCACTATCATTAATTAAAACAAATATAAATACTCTGTTTTGATTGCTTTTTGGTCTTTTGTAACAAAAATATTCAGCAAAAAGATTAAAATTTTCTCCAAAACCAGCCCAGAGTGGTTAAGTGGTGTGAAGCACCTCATTCAAATTTGAAGAGACAGCATCAAAACGAGTTGATCTGAGACATACTTCAGAAAAGGGGTGAAAGAGGGGCTTGTGATGTGACAATAGGGAAGAATTCAGATCGAAACATTGCAGTTCCACTTTATATAGACCCCAACTGAATCATTTAAATGTGAAAAGGATTTAAAAGCAAATGTGATGTTTTCTTCAAAATGAACCAGATAAGTAGTAATTTTCCTTACAAGCATTTTAATTTGTATTATTTACAGTTTGTCAAATTACATATTGACCATGGTAAAATCAGTCAAAACATTAGGCATAGCTGAAATGCTCAAAATGAATATTTTTCATACAGAAATGATATACAGCTATGACTTAGGCCAGAAAAAACACTAGTTACACGCCAGGTCTCGATGGGTATAAGATGACACAAACTTCTAAAGGCATAGTTCTGTATGAATAAAAAAACAGATTGCAAGGTTAACTCAAGACTGTGTTATATATTATTTAGAGTACCAAAAAGCATAGTCTGTTCAAAAATACTTTTTACTATATGAAAAATACAGCTGGTTTGTAGTTGCATTGAGTGTAGTTTAAAATAGCAACTCACTACGAACAGCTTCTTTTGGCCATTTCAGGGAAGAAATGTCAAACTTTTGTTAAAGTGYGTGATGCAAGATTGGAGAAATAAACAAGTTAGCAAGTAAAGATGTCTAATACATATAAAGTGTCTGTTCATTTAGTTCATTTAGGCTCCAATGGACTGTAGAAACAACTGCAAAGCATCTGTTGTGCAAAGATCGCCACAGGGGGTGAAGCGTAATTCCATAAAGGGGGGGCCCTTAGTTGTAATTGTAAAGACGGCGGGGACTTGAGGTGACAAACCCAAAGTACCATGGGATATTAGTATTCAGATGGGTATTCAGCTTGATGGGAACTGCCATTAGTAATGAACTTCCAGGCTTAGAGAGGTGATTTGCATCAAAGATGAACCCTGAAAATGTAATGATGTTCGGAGTCAAATCTGCCAGGCAACGCCAGGAGGGACAAGTTATCTTGTTGCGTTTTTTTTTTTTTTTTTTTTTTTTTTTTTTGTAACCTTCTTTTTGATTAACTGTGAGATGACCAGACTTACGATCTTCGAATTTAGGTTGTCTTGATT